TCGCCTCGTCGCCTCGTATTTCTACCTGGAGTAGACATCCAGGGCGTGGGCGTTAATCCACGCAATGCCCTCCTTCCTCCACGTGTCGGGCTCAACATGGCTCGTGACATTGGCATCAAAAACAAAGTTGGTCGGCTCATCAACACTGTACGGCTCCCAGGGGCCAGTGTCAACACCACCCTGCGACAGACCCTCACCCTCAGCACCGTTCGGGTTGCCATCAACAAAGAAGCGAATCCAGGCGCTGCTCATGGTGGCCGCAAGGTCGGCATAGCCCTGCGGCATGCCGTCGAACGGCGGTTCCGAGACGGGCGGGTAGTACCCCACGCCGAGCAGGTTGTTGAAGACGAAGGCGATCTCCTGGAAGTGGGTTGAGCCCGTCAGCTGGCTGAGGCCGTTGGGGATGGCGTTGAAGCGGTAGCTCCACGCGTTGAGGCCGGCGGCAGCCCAGGCCTCGGCGACGGCGCGGCGCGGCGCGATGAAGTTCTGGTCGCCGACGTAGGCAGCGGCGCGGCGGTACTGGGCACCGTACGGCGCCGAGGGGCGGAAGTCGGCGGGCAGGGGACCGAGGGGATCTGAGCCGGGGATGCCGACGGCCGGGTCGTCGGGGTAGTATTTGAGCAGCGCGGCCGTCTGGTTCGTGGCGACGCGCGAGTTGAGCAGGATGCGCTCGAAGTCGGCCGTGGTTTCGATGCCCCTCGGGCTGAAGGCCGTGCCCTCGTCGCTGTTGGCGCCGATGATGATAGGAACCTGGACGTAGTCGCCGCGCGCCACTTGCTGCGACGTCTTGCCGGCGATGAAGTCGCCGTCGATGGCCACACCCCACGACGTGAAGCCCGTGCTGTTGATGGCGGAGTTCAGGGTCTCGTAGTCGAGCGTGCGCAGGCAGGCGAGCGGTGCCGTAGCGTTTCTGCACGGCGTCGTCTTGATGAAGGATTGGTACTTGGCGTCGTTGTCGGCCGAACTGTTGAGCGGTCCGTAGTAGATGGGACCGCCAGACTGCGCGATGGCGCCGCGGAAGAGCGAGTCATCACGGCCGTTGTAGGCGACGAGTTGGGCGCCGACGCTGGCGCCACCGGCCGACTCGCCGAAGATGGTTACTTTGCTGGTGTCGCCTGTAAGGGGGTTGCGTGGTGAGCAAGTGTTTATCAGGGGGTGTGTCAGGGGTCCATCACATACCACCAAAGCCAGCAATGTTCTCCTGGACCCAATGCAGGGCGAGGCGCTGGTCACGCAGACCAATGTTGGTCTGACCCGCCTTCTGGACCTCCTCACCGCTCAGGAAACCCCACGCCGACAGGCGGTAGTTGATCGAGACGCCGATGAAGGGCTTGCCCATCTCGGCCGCATGCTGCACGATGAACGACAGGTTGTAGCGCTGGTCGATGCCGCCGCCCTGAGTGAAGCCACCGCCGTGGATCCAGAAGGCGACGGGCAGCGAGGTATTCTCGTAGCCCGACGGGCGTACCACGTTGAGGTACAAGCAGTCTTCGCTGACAGAGTAGGGGAACTGGTCGGACTATATGTTGGAAAATCGACGAATTAGCCTTTCGCTCCCCCGGTCAAACATGCGCCGGGATGCCTGGAGAGCCCAACAACGCGGCTCCAATATAAGCTCATAAGCTTAATTTTGAAGAATCTTGGTTCAACGTACCCCGTAGCCGACGCACTCGTTCGAGTACTCGGTGGCCGCGCGCGGCTCGCTCCACGAGCTGTTGAGCGACTGCGGCACGCGGAAGCGCAAGTCGCCCACAGGCGGCTGCGCGTACGGCACGCCCAGAAAGAAGTCCTGGTTGTACTGCGCCGAGTGGACGCCAACGTAGGAGCCGTTTTTGGTCGAGGCGGTGGGCGCGTTGTCGGCTCTGCGCGTGGGCACGGCAAAAGCCTGCTGGACTGCCAGCGCGAGCGCGCCGTACTTGGACCACATGGTGATGGCGAGGGGAGAAGAGGACGGCGAGCAACAAGAAGCGCTTGTTGCGATTGGTCTTTGGCTGCGGCGCACCTTTTTGCCAGAATCCTCTGGATAGAGCTGCTGGGTTATTGGGGTCACTTGCGCCCAGTCTCCTTTTATACGCATGGCGGCGGCGGCCGCCGCCGGCGTTGTCCTCCTCTTCCTCGTCCATGACGCGCGCGCGAGCGCGACCGAGCGCGGATAGGCAAGGGCAAATTGGTCATCAACGGCGCTTCGGATATCTTCAGTCAAAGAGCCGGCCGGGCCACATCGCCCTGTCAGGTGGACAGCAGCTTAGTGGCGGTAGGCGCGGGCCGTAAAGTCGAAAAGGGGATGCTGGGCTAGGTAGGATGCAACGCGCGGCGAGTGGGTGCGTCAGTGGTGGCCGAGTCAAGGCAGTGTCATTGCTTGGCTTGGTGTTGTTGGTTCTGCAGTACTGCGTCAATGCGTGGGCACGACGCATGCACCCCGGACTGCACCAAGCGAGGCTCAGTCGCTTTCCCCGCAATTATGTGCCTGTCCAAACGGCACATCTTGCTTGACCGTTGGCTTCCTTTCTTCCTGCTGTTGCTCTTCTGGATGATAATAGCCGGCACTACATTATTCTGGCAGCCCCTGATGGCGCTGCCAATTGCCGACCGGCACTTTTCATCAGCGATCATCACTTCTCCACATCGGCCGTCGCCCACTTTCCCCTTCGCCGACACCTTCATGACTTGGTTTCCCTGCGCGGCCGAATTTGCCGGCTTCAAGGCGCGATGCCTCCACTTTCTCTCTTTGTTGCCTGGTGGTGCGCTGCTGCCCGGCTGACGCGGCCCCATTTTTGAATGTATAGGGTTTCAGCACTTTTTGCACATCCTAACCGAGTTGCTGGCTCTTTCGCCCCGTGGGGTCGGGTCCTGCGGTCTGGAAACTGCCCATGTGCGGCCGTGCGCCTGGGACACATTTGCTTTTTTTTCGCGCGGAGCAAGCCGTTTCCTGCACTCCAGTCGCCAAGGTCATGACGTGCCAGCTATTTGCTGCCAAAGATGTCGTAGCAAAAGGCAAAGATTGGGGTGTGCGATGAGATTCTGTATCTTGCGCATTCGATGTAACTGTGATAGTCGACGACTGTAGAAGTGGAAGTGCTGAATCAAGGCTGACAGAAATGTTTTATCGCCCACGACTCGTACTGGCCGAAGTACCACCTTAATCCAGGTCCCTGAATCGGCGTTTGTGATTCTTGCCCAGGTGCAACCTTGGAGGATCCGAAGTTCCTTGCCAGTCCTGCCTGAGGGTGACGACAGAAACACGACCACTCCTCGATTTTTCCATCTTTCGAACCCAGTTTGATCAACACCATTCGAGCTGATTGACTCGCATCAGCTACGTTCCGCCTTACCACGCGTCTATATAACTCAAGACTATGCGCTCTGTTTTTGTGTCCTTTTGAGAGACCTCATCAAGTCCATAACCGCGCAATTTCAGCCTCACCGCACCTCGTCCTTGCTGGCCCCTTGCCAAGCGCTCGTCACGTCATGGGCAGCCTCCAAAATCCGATTGCTCCGGTCGTGTCGTCTTTCCCAAAAACGTCCCTCATCACCGCTGCTATCTGTTCTCCCCGGACCAGTTCGGGTCATTGTTTTTCGCGCAGGCAAGCCCAAAACCCCACATTGCTCAATGCCCACATTTCCGCCCCTTCTGCACTTTTGCATCATTCTCATTGTCATCATCATCATCATCACCATCACCAAGACCACCTTCCTCGCCGCCGTTTGAACTCCTGCGTCTCGTTGAAACCCGGTGCCAGACGAAAAACGCTCACAGGGGGTCGGCCAAGCTGCGCCCAGCCCAGCTCGCTGCAGGCCAAGCCCACACAAAATCGACGGACGCTGCTGACGATGATCGCAATCACAGCAGCCGCTTGACGTAGCTGGCGCTCGCTTGTTCACTCTGTGAGGTAATACAGAAGAAAAGCCGCAGAAACGTCTGTATAAATACGGCTGATTAGCCAGCTCTTCCATCCATTCTGTCTATCCATCGTCGCTCACGTCTGCAACATGTTCGCGGTGCATTTGCGTACACACGACGTTTACTTGTTTTTCCGTATCCTGCACGTGTGGTCTGCTCTTATGCACCCAATTGGCCGCTGGCTTTTCGCGTAGAGGTGCGCCTTGATTCTCGTATTTCTAGCCGTGTTCTGTATGGAGTACAAATGCATCGAGTCGGGTTACCGTTTTTGGTCGGTGTCCGCGGCCCCTGGTTGCCTGGTCACAGATACACATCTTGTTCAGCGGCTAAAGTTGCGGTTTTGGGACATCAAGGTAGGCACGAACGTGATGGTTGAAGATGAGGATGGTGGTGTGAGAGGCAACGTGATAGTGGTAGTCTTGATGCAGTGGCTTAATTTTTCTTGCCTGCTTTGATTTATTTGCCACCTTCTGCCTGCGAGTCGTCTCCCTTTTCTTTTTGCCTTTGGCTGAGACGATTGCTCTGCGTTGCCTCAGTGTCGAGCATCGAATCAACGACCGGAGTTGAGTTGGCTTGCAATAGCTCTACTGCGTTTCCCATTTCTTTTGGGTGCTATTAGGTATTCAATCAACACGTTAAAGAGCCACGGGAGTCTTGCCTCATCTTGTTAGTCCAGCGTTGTCTATCTTACGCTGGCGCTCCGGTCAATCCTCACAACACACACTGTCTTTTGGTCAGTCATCGAGCTACCCACAACCTATCTCACGCGATTTTTATGGCAATCGGACCTCCTTTTCTCTTTCCCCATGACTTCCAATGGCACAACTTCCTTTGCAAAACTTCAAGCTTGCGTCTCCCCTCTTTCGCAGTTCACCGTGCACCTGCACTTCTCCGCCCCCTTGACCCCCTGATCAAGTCAAAGTCCTGCCATACTTTCAACTCTCAAGGAAACAAGTTTCTTGCACTGCCACTCGATCCCTCTCAGCCCTTCCAACCCAATTCCGCCCCCTCACCCCGCCAAAACACTCCCCAGACTCCCCCGTCGCTCCCCTTTCCTCCTGAACATAACCTCACTCTCCCAGTCCCATGCCATCAAGAAGCGGGGTTGGTGTAGTTGGTTTATCACGTCAGTCTAACAGCGCGTTTCTTCCATCCAAGAAGCCTGTGGAGAGCACTGAAGGTCGCGAGTTCAAGTCTCGCATCCCGTATCCTTTTGTCCTCTCATTATCCACTTGTCCACGCATCCTCCACTCGTGTGCGCGGCTCAGGAAAGAAATTTTTTTGCTCCTCTTTCGATGGGGCGCGCACGGACCCGCCAGACGCCTGGGTTGCCGATTGTGGTTAGCGCGTGCAAGTTGCTTTGCTGTTTCGGGTAGGTTGGCTTTGCGCATGGTTTTGTTGCTTGTTGTTATTCTTGGGGTAAGTTTGGTGGCTTTCAGATGCTCTGCGGTCGATTTGTCTGGCAGTTTTGTGGGTTTTCAAGGAGAGCCGGCGTTGGCTTTTCGTCATGATGCTTGGCACACGACTTCAACTTTCAGTGTTTTCCGGCTAGAGAGTTCGACTCACCATTTCCCTTTATACTGAGACCTTTCAGCTTCGCTGAATCTGGAGCCTTACCTGTCTCTTTGGGCAGTATGTCGTCGGTGACCTGGAATCGGCGAGCAACCTAATCATCTCTTTCCAGTCTTGAACTCCCAGCAAGTCTGCCGCTTCGAAGTCCCGACCCACTATAGGAAGATGAGAATTACAGGACCAGTACCTGAACGGACGCTATCAGAGACCACATAAGGAGCGACCACCGAACCAACAAACTTCAACTCCGTCCCTACCTCACCCCTCATCCTACCACGCCAAAACGGCCCGACGCCTCTCCTCCCTCCCAAACCCCATCACAACCACAACCCCCAAAACAGCAAAATAGCATGGTCGATACCAGGATCGAACTGGTGGCCTTGGGATAACTCGCCTCCATGAGGCAATCACAGCACAAATCTATGAGACCTGCAGTGAATTGTCAGCGAAGTTCGCTGTGTGGGAGGAGAAAGCCGTCTTTCGGCGCGGCACAGTGAAAACTTACCCACGTCATGACCAACTAGACCAATCGACCGGCGAAAAATATGGCAGGAATGGTGGCTACGTCGGTTCTTGAGGAGAAAAGGGGGGGAAGGGGGTGGTAGGGGTGTTGCCGCTGGGCAAAGGAGGCGGTCGTGCAGTAAAATCGGCCACGAGTTTTGTGTTACGCGGTTGATTGGCATTTTGGATGTCGGCCGGCTGACATCCGTCTCTCACAGCTGCTGTTTTCTCCGCACCTCCTCCCTCGACAAGCGCTGATTTCTGCCGCGCTTTGAAATTCCCGAGGCGAGAAACGGAATGACCCCTTTCCCAGCCAGCAACCCCCTCAACACCCACCCCCTTACCCCACCCACCTCCTCGTGTGCAGCTCAACGGCGTCCCGCTTCCCGTCCAGCACATCCCTACGCGCACGCATCCCTGCGCCTGCCATCTATCGCCCGGGCACTCATCCCGCTACACGGACAACTCACGCGCACACTGTGCGCCAAACACTCGCGCTGCTTCCACACGAAGACGTGAGACTCGGCTGCGTCGATTGGCTTTGATGCAAAACGGAGTCCTCTGAATGAAGTTCTTTGGTATTGTGCCATACAGTACTATCTGCGCTAGCGTGAAGACAGTGTGCGAAAGGGTACGAAACGAAATGGTCGAAAACTTTGTGGATTGTAGGTTGAAATAGGATTGTTGCCAGGGCACCGGCGTGAGGAAGATGGGATGCGTGGAGATGCCGTGGTTAGGGTTTGCGTGGGATTACTGGTCTTGCGGGGATTGAAAGTGTGAGCGATCTCGTTTTTCGTGACGGAAAAATCGCTAGGTCGCGCGCTGCATTTATCTGATTCAGCTGCTTGGGACGAAGCGTGAAAACTATGAGCTTCATAGCTCGACCTATTCTCTGTTTTGGCGCCCGCTTGCACTAATACCCGGGCTGACGACGCGGCATCCCCAAGTGCACACACTGAAGCTCAGCATCACTCCACTGCGCGCTGGTTACATGCTGCGTACGCACTGGACAGTCTACCGCAGCACAGATGACAGGACGGGAATCTACCATTTCATTCGACTCTTTTTGCTCGAGAGCGTTGCCGAGGCGGCGGACCGCCCGGCTGCTGCTCCGTCGCCAAGACGCTGCCAACTCATCACTCAATCTAGCACATACAGGATACAGAGCGGCACATTCCGAGCAGACCAATGTGGGGACCGATGCGAGTAATGGACAGGCAATAGTGTTCTGGTGGAGGGAGGGATGAGAAGGGGGATATGCAGGGAGGACGAGCGAGGGCAGAGAGACCGGGCTGTGGATTAGGACCGCGCTGCGCTCTTAGCTAGTCGGTGATGGTGAAGCGCGGATGAAGGGTACTAAGGTTGGGAGACTGAATTCGGACGTTGCGAGAGATGCAGACGGAGGGGTGTTGGCAATGGGATATCGCAATGTGCCGAACCACAATCAATGACCGAATAAAGGTGTTGGGTTGAGCAGGAAGAGGTCGGGAATAAGGAGAAAAATCCAAGAAATGAAGAGAAAGCGGCAGTGCAAACGCAGCAATTTTTAGGCTTTTCTCAAATGACGACGAGTCAAGAATTGGGTACGATGAATAGATGAATGAAGACGGGCAGGTACTGTAGGTGCATGACCAGCCACAACGGAAAGCTCCCAACGCATATGCAATCGGATACCTACCTTCGCACCTGCAAACCCCCCATTCCCCACCCCGCCTCCACACAGCTCCCCCTCCCTCTCCACCCATCTGTCCACGGAAAACCCGCAGCCGGAAAAGCGTCCGGAAAACACCTCCATCCAAACCCACCCCTATCCACCCACCACCACCGCTGTCTTGGCATAAACCCATCACAGCGCCGAAAGCCAAGCCAAGCACAAAAGTAAAAGCAAAAAGCAAAAGCAAGAAAAATCCTTCGTCTCAGCACCAGCCAGCCGAGCACTGCACGGCGTTTTTGTGTCGCTGCTCCGCCCGGCTGGGCGGCGGCGGGGCGGAGCGGCTATCCGTCTATCGGGTGCGTTGGGCGGCGAGCGAGATAGAGGAGGGGGTACAGTAGGGTTGGCGGTGGAGGGCGTCAGGGTGTCAGGGCGTCAATGGTGGATCTAGACCACAGCAGGCTTTTGGCCCCTGCCTCCATGTCTTTCTTTCTTTCTTTCTTTGTGTGTTGTGCAGCGCGGCGATGGGTGTGGAGGTTGTTGGAGTTTTGTGGGGGATGCATGCGTGCAGCACTGTAGGTACCTTACCCTGCCATGCCCTATCGTTTCCCCCTGCTGGATGGGATTGAGGACCGTGGATGAGCGGCTGGCGATATAATTAGGCCACTATACTTATCAACCCCATCATCATCATCTCCATTCATGACAGCGACAGCAACAGCAATCACAGAAATAAGAACTTCGCTGATGCAAGCCGCGTTGCTTGGGACCTAGGCAAGAAGAGGAGGAGGGAGCGGCGTGAAACGAGTGACACGACACAACATGACATGCTTGCCAGCGACAGCGACACGTGCGACGGGCGCTGCATTTGTTCAAGCAGTTCGCCGACTTTTTCTTTTGTACTAGATAAAAGAGTGTTGTATGAGATAGGAAGAAGAGGACGAAAGGGTAGGCCGGGCGTTTGTCTGTCTGATGTTGATGGTGATGACGACGGTACGACCGAACACTGTCATTCTTTATATTCTGGACGAGCATGTGCGCAGGCAGGAGCGTAGACGGAATGGAAGTAGGTAGAAGAGCAGAGCAGCCAAGGTAAGCAGACCATCCATCCATCATCTATTCCCAGCGCGCCAGCCACCCGGCCCGGCGAACCCTCAGACGCGGAGATGCATGTGTGTGTGCTCTTGGACATGATGGGACGCGCTACAAGCGCCAAGCCTTAGAAGCAGCAAGGGATGCCACGCACACATGCACGCACGTCTGCAACAACTCCACGATACATACATAGACGCAAGCTAAGTGGGGCGGGGGGAGGGGCCACGGAGGAGTGGGTGGGGAGGAGAGGAGAGGAGCGAGCGTTGCATTCGTTTGTTTATTTCTCGGAACATTAGCGCTGGGCTGCCTACGGTGTCCTATTGACGGCGATAGAACTAGCCAGCGAGCCATTGGCCGGACTGGCTCAAATGACCAACCACCCAACACCAACTTACTTACTTGCCTACCCACAATGCGGAGGACGCGACGAGCGAGCGTGCGTGCGTGTCTGGCTGGCTGGAAGTAAGTAAGTGATAGGCCACGGTAGGCTAGCTAGATAGATAGATGTGTGTGTGTGTGTGTGTGTGGCTCGCCTCGCCCATCCGCCCTCCCTTGTGCGACGTGCGTGAGGAGATAGCCGTAGCCGCCCGGTACCCTAATCGCCATTCGCGTTGCAAGTGACGGCGATGGTGGAGGCGGTATGCAGTAGAAGAGGGATGGGAAACATGGCAGGACATAGCAACTATGACCAACCTTTCTACCTCGCCCATAGCACAAGAAGTGTGAGTTCAGAGTGGTAGTGGTAGACACAGGACAAGACAGGCAGATAGCATCCAGTGCAAAAAGTACTTTTTTTTTTTTTTTTTTTTCAATTTCTTCTTCCTTCCTTCGCAGCCAACTAGCCAGCAACCGCGCGTGCGGCGGTAAGAGAATCGTAATCTATATGCCCTCTTTTCTGACCCCTCAATGCAGCAGCTGCAGCATTCTCATCATCATCATCATCATCATCTATAAGAAGTAAACGCAGCACGTACGCACGCACGCACGCACGCATCCATTCCCTTATCCAAAAAAGCAAGCAAGCAAGCAAGCAGTAGTAGTAGTGCGCAGAAGCCGACGTGGTGACTGAGAGACGAGAACGTGTACATGTAGTAGACGCCTGCCCCTCAAGACATCGATCGACTACGCGACAAAATCAAACGCAGACCAGACGCAGACGCAGGCAGCGTCCAGTCGCAGTATTGTAGGAAACTCGTTAGCCACGACGGCCGTGTGTAAAACAACAAAGCGCCGCCACCTCGTCCAAGCACCCGACTATTCCGACCAGATAGACCACATTCCGCCGACCCGACCGACCGACCAACTGACCGGCCAACAGATAAAAACACCAGCAGCGCCATGAAGCAAGCAAACAAGCAGGTAGAACGCCAGAGACAAAAACCCAGGAGATGCGGAAGTGTCGTGTCAGACGCCATTTCGAGGCCATGGAACACCGTTCCTCTCCTCCCATACGTATTTGTGTGTGCATAGAAGCGCGAAGCCCATCAAATGGCCATTTTGTCCCCACTCATGCATCTCATATGATAAGAGATCGTAAAAGAAGAGGAAGAAAGACAAGATGAAGATGGAGTAGAATGCAAGAACAAAAGATCTTTTGGTTGTTCCTCGTTGCCCACATGTGTATATGTGGTGTGTCGAGCGATGGCCGGTTCGCTTCCCACAAGGGATACATAGACAACACGAGAGAGACGCAAGGCGAGAATAAGATCCAAGCAAGTAACGGGCGACCACCGTGTCGTAGCAATCGTAAGTGTCCGAGCGCTCGAGCCGGCATGGAGCTTTTGCCAGCCAGCAAGAGGCCGGACGACGGTAGTATAAAGACAAGCGGCGAACGAGTCGTCAAAGAAGGAAGAAAGGCCAGTGGCGGTGCGGTGCGGTGCCATCATCACTCGCCAGGAGCAACAACGACGCAGGCCGAGCATCTTTGGAGAAACGTCATCTAATCCTTGCCGTACAACTCCTTGGCGTCGTCGCCTTGCGGGCGATCGGTGTCGTAGCCGCGCGTCACCCACGAGGCCTGGCTCGGGACCCTCTCGAGCGGGATGGTGGGCTCATCAATGTCGGTGGTAGGACCGCCGGCAGCCAGCTCCTGGCTCTTATACCACCACGTGACGCCCATGCAGGCGGCGGCGCAGGCCAGACAGCTACCGCTCCACATTTGCACCGTGATGTAGTTTCCGAATTCGCTGACGAGGTGGCCGGCGACGATGGGACCGACGAGCGAAGGGATGGCGGCCACCGTGTACATCATGCCGGTCCAGTGGCCGAGCTTGGCTTGCCGGGCCTTG